GTCGTAAATGTGGCAGGTATTTTGGATATTGAAAGAGAGATTTACTTTGGGGTCAAATCAGCAATTTGGGTGGAGCGGGTAGGAAGATGGAGTAAGTATATGGGTGATTCTGCAATTTTCAGAACTGTTTGAGCCATGGAGGTGGATTTTCAGAAATTACAAATTGACCTCCACTTGGGGGCATTTCCGGTTTAAGGACCAAAATTAAAAATGGTATATAATATAGGGACAAAAAACTGTAACTATCACAAGTTTATTATAAATAATATAACAAATTAAAGTTTCCTAAATCGTAAAATTTGATCGATTTGTTGATATTTAAGATTTATTTTAACTTTTGAATCGACTTATGTATGAACGAATTGAATCGTAAGATTTAAATCGTAAATCATATGATTTTATACTCAGTATTGCGAATTTTCGTAAATGAGTCACAAACGATTATAGATGAGGAGGAGTCGAAGCATACTGCGTTGGTGGCGGATATTTCGGATATTGCAAGAGAGATCCAATTTGGGGTCAAATTTACAATTTGGGTAGTTGGGAAGATGGAGTAAGTATAAGGGTGATTATGCAATTTTCAAAACTATTTCAGCCAGGGAGGTGGATTTCCAGAATTACAAATTGACCCCCACTTGGGGGCATTTCCGATTTAAGGACTAAATTAAAAAAATGGTATATTATTTAATTAAAAATGGTATATAATATAAAGACAAAAACTGTAATTATCACAAGTTTATTATAAATAATATAATAAATTAAAGTTTTCCTAAATCGTAAATCGTAAAATTTGTTGATATTTAAGATTTATTTTAACTTTTGAATCGACTTAGGTATGAATGAATTGAATCGTAAGATTTTAATCGTAAATCATATGATTTTAAACTCGGTATTGCGAATTTTCGTAAATGAGTCACACACGATTATAGCTGAGGAGTCGAAGCATACTGTGTTGGTGGCGGATGTTTCGAATATTGCAAGAGAGATCCACTTTGGGGTTAAATTTGCCATTTGGGTAGCGTGGCTGGGAAGATGGAGTAAGTATAGGGGTGATTCTGCAAGTTTTAATACTATTTCAGTCGGGCAGGTGGATTTGTTGTCCTAAATATCAACAAATCGATCAAATTTTACGATTTACGATTAAGGAAAACATTAATTTATTATATTGTTTATGATAAACTTCTGATAATTACAGCTTTTGTCCCGATGTTATATACCATTTTTTATTTTGGTCCTTAAACCGGAAATACCCCCAAGTGGAGGTCAATTTGTAATATCTAAAAATCCACCTCCCTGGCTCAAACAGTTCTGAAAATTGCAGAATCACCCCTATATCTTCCTACCCGCTCCACCCAAATTGCAAATTTGACCCCAAAGTGGATATCTCTTTCAATATCAAAAATATTCGCCACATTTAGGAAAATTCGCAATGTTGAGCATAAAATTTTATGATTTACGATTCAAATCTTAGGATTCAATGCATTCATATCTATGCCGATTCAAATGTTAAAATAAATCTTAAATATCAACAAATCGATCAATTCATTCATATCAATTTAATATTAAATGATATTTTACTAATAGTTTAAAGTTTTATTGATGTGGTCATTCAATGAGGAAAGCATTTAGGCGCCCTATTCAATGAAATGAGGCCTCTTTTTTTTCAACCGGCGAGGAAGAGGTGGCGGAGGTAGTGCAGGAGTTCTTTTTGGGGAAATTGCAATCAAGTCCTTATTTAATTTCAGAAATTTGATATAAATTGCAACTTGGCCTTTATTGAGTTTTTGCAATTATTTACTCATAAACATATATATTCAACAGAGGGTAAATTAGTCAAAAAAAATAGAACAGCGGGAATAAATGCAGCAATCCAAAAGAGTCAACACGTCACATCAGCAATGGTGGACGGATATTTAATGGAGGGGTTGTTTTGGTACATTTTGAAGTTCAGGGGGTATTTTACACCTTGAGTATAGTTCAGGTAGGTAAATTGAAGTTTACCCTATCTATCATAAATAAAGG